AAAAAAAATTGAAGGAATTCCTGGCATGTATTCTCTTAAAGAAATGATGCATGTTTTAATAGTCTCTGGAGAACTCTAAAAATAAAATAGTGGAAAAGGTTATAGGGGATGAATGCTAACAGGAAAGGTTTTTTCTTTAGTCAGTGTGATTTTTGTGTGTATGTGTGTATATGTATGTATGTATATATGTTTGTTTTTCAGGTCTTATCTTCCCTTTCTTGCTTTCCTATTTTCTCCCTTTATGAGACAGCTTTACTCTAAGTGACTTTTTTCTTAATTAAGAGTAATTCTTGATGAAATAATAGCTTTTCCCTACTTGATAAAGTTACCTTTAAATATGATAATCTTTAAAGGATGTTTCTGCAAATTAGTCAAAAATGCACCTGATGATTACTTTTAAATAACATTCAGTTATTTTTTCTAATATATCATAAAATGCATAGTTCATAAATATATAAATTTATTAAAAAATAATTTAACCACATCAATATGGTCTAGAAATTCCAATAATTGTATCAAAAGATTAAACTAAAACAAACAAGCAATAAAAAGAAAAACGTTGCATCATTGAGAGAAAGTGTGTAAATGAGCGAAAGAAAACAAACTCACCTTTTCCTTTCTTTGAAGCTGGTGTGTCTTTGGAATCTTCTAGAGAACAAAAATGAAAAGTAATTCAGTCTAAATGATTTTTGTTGTTCAAAGGAAAACACTCTACCTAAGGGTTTTTAAGAGTTACAGGTCACTAATCTAAATGTGGCTTCTAGCTCAAGCATTCTGATTTGGGAAATGGGTGTAAAGGGACAGCACTGAACTGCTCCAAAAACAGAGGGGCAAAGTACAGGACACATCACATCAAAGTACGGGACACATCACATTAAAATTTCTAAGCAACAAAGCAAACAATTCAGAGATTAAAAAGACACCTTAAATGATATAAAACATTTGTAAACCATAGACATGGTAGATTACTATATAAAAATAATAAATAAGTCGTATACCTATAGAGAAAAAATAGCCCAACTAATAATATCTAAAAAAATATGCACAAGGTAAACAGAAACATTAAAAATGGGGTCAACCTCATTAGTTATCATGAAAATGAAATAAAAATCATAAGACATCACATCATCAGTCAGAATGGCCATTATCAAATAGTGACAAGTATTTAGAGAAAAAGAAACATGAGAATTTAAGATTGGATGCTCTAAATCAACAAAGATCAGGTGCAATGGCACATGCATATCTCTAATCCTAACCCCGGGGATGGGGAAATAGAAAAACCTCTGGAATTTTCTGATAACTAGTCTTCACAAAACAAAAACATCAGGGTCAGTAAAAGACCCTGCCTCAAAAGCCAAGGTGGGGAGCTATGGAAGAAAACACCTGAAATGGACCTGAAGATTCAACATGTATATGCGCACACCTGCAATGCCTTATACATACACATGTACACAGAAAAACTCATCACACACAAACACACTTCTCTAAGAAAGCAGATTGTAATGTAAATTTCTTAGTATAACACTTAACTGTGCCAATTCATATGCTAATTAGCTTAGTCATAATGATTATATCCTGATGCATATGTATATTAAACCTTTACATTGTACACCTCAAAATGTACAACTTGTCTTTACCAATTATACATCAATGACTTAAAATGTACAATTCGTCTTTACAAATTTTACTTCAATAAAACTTAAGAAAAAGACATTAAACTTCAATTACAACTCATAGCCATAAACAGTAACTCAGTCATATTTTGAAAATTACTTTGTCTTTTATATATTCTGACTTACAGGCACATATAGAATTGTGTGCAAGTAATTTTAAATCAGCGACAACATTAATGCAATATACTGGAACAATCTTAATTTTCATTGCAATCTTTTAGTACTTATAATTGTTTTATTTACTCAGAGTTTTCCTACCATATTTTAACTAATAAAAGCAAAAAGGGCAAGATAGGCCAGCATTTGAACTTTCTCTAATAGAAAAGAAATTATGAACTTCAATAAGAAACACTCTTATGTAAAAGAACAAAAAAGAAAACAGAGCAGAATTGCTTGTACCACTTTTATAGATTGTAACTAAAGTTTGAATTGACTCGTTTTAAAGTTTATTTAAACAAGCTTGTTTAAATACTGATGAAATGGCCACAATCTTAACCTAACTGATGAACAGTTATAAATAAAAGAAATCTATAAGTGGCGACATGATGTTTGGAAGCAACATAGTATGCATCTTTTGAAAATAATGCCAGACTACCTAAATGAAAGCAAAGATCTTCTTCCTTTGAGAATTTGTATACTTGTAAGAAATTTCTGCACAAAAGAAAATGGTTCAAGGTCCTCATCCATAAAAACATACATAGCAGTTCGTAGGTTATAACATACCACAAACTAAAATGAAGCAGTACTTTTCTTCAGGATTAAAAAAAAATGAGTAGAAAAAAATGAGTAGAATAAAACTTAACTATATTTTTAAAGCATTCATTCACTTTTATTATTTTAATTTTTTGCATGTGTGTGTTTGTGTGTGTGTGTCCATGTGAGTACAGTACTTCTAGCACAGTGATTCTCAACCTTTCTAGTGTTGTGACCCTTTACTACAGCTCCTCCTGTTGTGGTTACCCCCAGATATAAAATTATTTTGCTACTTCATAATTATAACTGTGATACTGTTATGATTTTAAGGTAAACATATGGTATGTAGGATGGTCTTAGACAACCTCTGCAAAGGGGGTGTTCAGCTCACAAAGGACTTTACACCCACAGGATGAGAACCATTGCTCTAGAGTCAAACCTCTTGAAGATGGAGTTCTAAGTGATTGTGAGATGTCTTTCTGATATGGTGCTGGAAACTGAATTCTGTTCCTCTGCAAGAACAGTAACTACCATTTTGCTGCTAAGTCATTTCGCCAGTCCCCAAAAATGAATCTTCAACTGGACACTGTTCAGAGAGTGAGAGACTGTGGCACACTCAGTATTAAATGGGAGACCTTCATCAAGACCCTCTTCTCATTTCTCAGGGAACTATTTGGAAGAGGAGGTGGAAAAGCTGTAGAGCCAGGAATAATGGGAGATGGACACCGTCATATCTGATGGGAATCGCAGGAGTCAAAAAGACAGCACAATTGTTGTCACAACTTTGGCCTGAGGATATTTCTTGGGCACTTTAATCTTTAAGAGTTAATAATACACTTCTTGGGTCATGGCAATCTGCCTAGATTAGCTTGTATATTTTGTTTTGGTTTATTGTAGCCACAAAAGCTACTAGTCTGAGAACAGGCTGTCATATGCCTCAGGATTCTTAAAAGTTGTGTTATGATGTTAATGAGTAAGAATGATTATAAAAGATAACTCAGTTTATCAAAGATGCCAACAACTTGAGGGAAAATGATTGGAAATGATAATTCTATTCTGTCATAGTATTTTAATGATGACTAAAGATGATCAAAAGGAAGTGAAACACATGTCTAAAACCAAAAATTATATGATCTATATTTTGGAACAACATGAATCTATTTCTATTTACTGAATTCTGTATAAATAAAGAAGCATTCCGACTACGAGTCAGTCAGGGTGCAAGATTTTCACCCCTCCTCACTTCTGTTCCCCACTAACTTTTCAGACCTAATGCTGGGACCTATCCACCACTGGAGATGGCTCACCAAGGAGACACAAAATAAACCATGAGTTCCAGACATGCCAGAATATATATATGTATATATATTCACAGAGAGAAAGGCAGCAGATACTGTATTGTCCTGGTCTAAGCTAGACGAGGTCCCAGTGCTGAGAAAGATCCTCCATACCTATCTCAGTAATTATCTCCAATTAACAATCATGCACAGAGGATAAAGTGGTTTTTTTTCCAATGAATTCTCACTGGGTACAGAAACCACATTTAGAGAGGACCCATGCCCAGCACTAGACAATCAATCCAAAAAAGAATGCAAATGATATTTTTGGATATGTCTCATAATGCTTTAATTGAGCTTTTTAAAACTTTTTTTAATTGGGAATTTTTAAAACTTTTTTTGCTTATATATTGTGATTTCCAAGTTACTGTTTCTATGGATTTTCTGTATGGGGCTTATGTGTCTCTATGTGTGTTGTATTTGTTTGTTTATGTATGTGTTTTTTTTTTTGTTCAGTCTCTGTCTACAATGTATATTTCTACATAATATATGGGTTTATAATACTAAAACAAACAATTTGCAGAATTTAATTTTTAAAATGTACTCATTAAAATACATTTCAGTAACATCATAAGAACTATTATTATTTTTATGCCAGATACTCTACATTATGTTTTTACTGAAACTTAAAAACACACCTAAGAAATACATAGAAAAATCCCCTTTCTTAGAAGACGACTATGAAAGAATGAAGACTGAAATGTAACTTTCCTGAAGCAACATAGAAAAAAGAGGCTTGGCCCCTAGTCTTCTAGGGCCTTACTGGTATGGGAGATTCTTCTGTCTATGTGCTGCTTTTATTGGTTAATGAGTAAAGAACTGCTTTGAACCTATGACAGGGAAGAATAGAACTAGTTTGGGAAAGCTAGGCTGTATGCTGAGAGAAAGAAGGGAGGTGCCAGGGAGAAACCATGGATCCACCACCTGAGACAGCTGCCGGGAACTTTAGCTGGTAAGCCACAGCCATGTGGTGATACACAGATTACTAGAAATGGATTGAATTAATATGTAAGAGTTAGCCAAAAAGAAGCTAGAATTAATGGGCCAAACAGTGATTTAATTAATACAATTTCTGTGTGATTATTTTGGGGTAAACTAGCCAGTTGGCTAGGAACTAAAAAGCAGCCTCCTCCTACACCTTACTTTTTCCATCAACTTACTCTGAGTATTTACAGAGACCATCTCATTGACAATGGCCTTCAAGAAATTCTAAGAACTTGGGTAGTCAGAGATAAAAATAATAATTCTTAAATATATAATGGTGATACAAATTTAGAATTTTTCATCTATATCTCAGAGTTTTCTAAATAAAGATCAACTTTAATCAATTTTCACTGAAAATCTATTGAATATTTCTTATATTACTGACCTATTCATTATAAGATTCTTTTGTGAAATAATTTGGGTTAACACAAAGAAGAAGAAGAACCCAATAGGAAAACCATTCATTCTGTCATTCAACTATGCTTGCAATAACTCCAGTAATAAACAGAAAGAAACAATGTGATTTGGTAAGGAAATTAGATGAGAGATGAGGTCCGCTGATTAGCCAAAGCTCTATTTGAGGTCTATGTGAAATTGTACAGGGAACAGGACTCAGCCTGTTATAGGAGAAATTTCTTGGTGATTTGGAGTAAAAGAAAAACTGAAGAAAGATGACATTCCAGCAAAATCACAAATAACTATGAAGTTGAACATAGACTTCAGAGTAAGGAATAAGCTTTTGAACAATGTAGAATCTCATTAATCCAAATGTAGACAGCAAGGATAAAAGTCACAGCAGGCGATTCTACTGAAAAAGAGAAAAGGAGGAAAGAATACTAAGATTGGAAGAATTCGGCCTCTGGAGCAGTGGTTCTCAACCTTCCTAATGCTGTAACCCTTTATTTCTCATGTTTTGATGACTCCCCCAACCATAAAATTATTTTCCTTGCAATGTCATATC